CAAGATGTGGAGGGATGATGTGCACGATCCTCTATCCAGCCCTGGCTAACATAGACCATACAGACGATTTTTGGGACCATGGATTCCAAAATTATAATTGTTGTCATGCAGGGTAAAGTTAAAAAAGAATCTCTGGATCCGGAAGGGCACAACTGTGGTCCTCTGTGCCTTCCCCATACCACCAGCTCCTTGACAAACAGCCCATTTGCTATTCTCTCCCAAGACACCACACAGCTCTACCAACAGTAATAGACCACACTGCAGCTTGTGGATGACAGACACCACCTCCCTTTCTCCAATGTCCCTTGATACAAAGGAAAAAGCAATGACTGTACAAGTGTCACCGATCCATGCTGCTTGGCCAATCAACATCATCCCAGGCAGAGACATACCACAGTTTCTACTGAAGGCAGCAGGAGCAGCTCCCAGCAGCAGAATGCCCTGCTTTGTCCCGAAATTGAGCACAGCCCTCTCACCCTTTGCCGTATTCCCACCAGCCTTCCCGGCTCCCAGCCTTCAGCCCTTTAACACCCACAGTTTTTTCCACTGTTCTGTGAAGCGATGAGAAATCCCCTGCCAGAGGACATTGTTCAAATGGGTTATTGAAAAGAAATGCAACTCCCTACTCCAGGTGAAAAAGCTCCTTCTTTTCCCCTTGAGGAAGAAGGATAATAGCACAGCCAGGGAAAAAAAGACTATCCCCAAAGCCTGCTGTAATAATATTAAATAAGAAACTGAAGGGGTTTGACCAGGAAAATCCCAAGTTCAAAAGAATAATTGCTCCAGAAGATTTAAGCCTACAGCTGAGTCACTAAATCGAAGAAACCTCTCCTTGCCCATAGAAAGCAAACAAATCTTCGGTCATGCAGCAAAGCTTCTGTATGTCCTTGTTAGAAAGAAAGAAGAAATAAGCCAAATGCAATTAATCATAGTCCCAGAAGAAAGGATGAAATCTCTGTAATTAGCTACCTAGGCTCATCTTTCCACTTTTAAAGACTAATCCAGCCTTCTTCTTTCACCTTTCATCCACAGCGCTGCCTTGAAAGTCTACTGCAAATACCAAATCAGTTCTCTTCAGGGGTACACACTCACACTCACCTGCAGCCTGTGGTCCCCTAACAGCTTTGCAATAAATGTACAGGGAGGGGGGAACATTTGTAGGGAGCAAACAGAGTTCCTTTTCTTAGTCACCTTTTGTGCATGAGCTGGCATGGTGTTTTCAGACTATCCAAGAACCTGGGGACCTTGGCTGGTCTACAGGCATTATTTTCAAGCTAGGTATTTTATATTTACAATCCAATCCAATGACCAGAAAACACTAATTTTTATTTATTTATTTATTTAAAAAGCAAACAAGACCCCCCCCCCCAAAAAAAAAACAAACAAAACAGCACAGAAACATGAAAACACTTTCCAAATGGTTAATATTGCAACTGCTTGTGTTAATAAATTGGTTTAAACCTCATCCTCATGCGGTGTAAATTTGCCTGACCATCACTCTACCCATAAAAAGTGTGTTCTTCACAGCTGTATGCACTGTCTGTACAGAGGCAAGTGGACAGGGCTATATATTAACAGCAAGGTCTCCAGCAGTTAAATTCAGTAAGTTGAAGCCAGATGGCAAGCAGCTCCTTTAACTACAAAAGGAAAAGCCACGCTCTATAGATGAAACATATCCGGTCTAAAAGTCACAATTCCTTTGCCACATGTTCATCCAAAGTTTTGGAAAACATGGGGGAAAAGTATAGTACTTCAGAGAGAGAAGGGCTGCAGACAGTGGCTACAGCTTAGGAGTGGAGGTCAGGACCCAACATCCAAAAAAATCCTATGCGAATCAAAACAAGCCATTCAACTTCCCTGGGGCTCCTTTAATAAATAACAGTTGACAAATATTATTCCAACAATAAAAACAACAACAGACTGGCTCCTTAGGTCAAATGCATCAATGGTAAATACAATACAGTTGCATAATACCAAAATGACATCAGCTGAGGAACTGAGACTGGTTTCTGCCCTGTCTCTTGTACACAAACCACTGCTAAGGTATGAATAATGCTGTCAACAGACAGGGAAAGCTGGCCAGCTTTGTGGCAAGGGAAAGCGAAGAACAGACTGGACAGAAGTCTCCAGCTTTGCTCTTCCATGACATAGCAGAAATCCTTATTTTCAGAGGAAGGAGAATGGGCCATTCTTCTGTGAAAAAGATGGAAGTAATTATGCAGCTCCAAGTACAGCTGGAGCCTTCCTTTTAAAATGTGGCAGAGAGGGATGATTAACAGCTGATCTGTGGGATATGGCAACAAGGTCAAGGAGCCCCGGGTATGACCATAATGCAACACCCACTGCTTTCCCTCCAGGTTAGTGCTTCAGACACAGTCAGAGGTGCTGGGGATGCTCTGGAGGCTGTTTGGTGGCGTGGAGCTGTCTTCACCTGCCAACTCACCAACAGCATCAGCCAAAAGGCTAAAAATCAGTAGGTTGCTCCTCCTTTTCTTTGCACAGAAATCTGGCAGAGGAACTAAGCACAGTGTCAGAGGGAAGGTGGGATCTGATTGCAGCAAAGGTTCTACCAAACACCCAGAGTGATCTTCTCAGCCTCAAGCTGTTGTTTATAAAATCCAATCAGCCCTCTGCATGTCAGGGTGGTCAAGAAGGATTCTGCCAGTGCGTTGGACTTTGTCCCTTTTTAATGGGAATTCCTACCATCCTTCCACGAGGATGCACAGATCCTCATGCAGAAAACGAAATGCTGCCGGCAGACAGGCTGCTTTCCGTAGTACTTCTACAGGACGGAAGAGCCAGCCCCGAAATCTCAGCGATGGGATGGGTACTCCGGCAGTGAGGCATGAACTGCGAGCCGAAGCTGCCCTCCGCCGGATGCAAGGGAAATAACCCACTGTGATGGGAAAGTCAAAAGCTACGTACTTCTCCAAGCGCAGGTCCCTTACTTTTCTGTAATGACCACTAACATTCACTTTCCTCGGTGTTATGTTGCAGGCACTAATGTAAAGGCCAGAAGCTTCCAAAATAAGGGGAGTCTGGAAGCATTCTGTCGTCTGACAGCATCAAGTCCCAACATTCAAATGCTGGAATGCATTCAACTATCCCTAAATAGTGAATTGAAACAGGGGATTCTCTACTATTACTGATTTTTCCATACACCAGCAACTGATGCACACGCTGGAAAGTAAAACCCCATAATTTTTTGCTAGATAACAATTCTTAAATATGGGCAAATAATCAAAGATTAAGGTGGGAACTGAAGTAACCTTTATTTTCAGACAGCTGACATGCACAAAGGGACACAATCACTGTATTCAATTAAAAATAATACTAATTAAAACTGTATCCAAGCATCAACAGCTATAAAAACTTTAAAATCCTGAATTATTTTTTATGTACATCCCCAATTTTCATTTTGTGCACTATATTCAACTACAAAATGAATCCTCCTAGCCAGCCTTGTGTCAATTCACAAACACAGAACAGGCACCAATCACAAAATAATTAAAGAAAACCTTTCAGGTTTCAAGTGAGATGAAGAAAACTCCTGAGATTGTCTGCAGCAATTAATTTGACCCAATGCTGCCAAGGTACAGCAGCAAACAGAGTTTTCAGGGGCTACTCCCTAAAGAAGCAAGGTTAAAGTATTCTAATCATTAACCTTTGCAAAGATTTGAGACGCAAAGTAGTATTGCTGCAGCACCTGAATGCATGTGGACACACAACAGGGTTCAGAGAGCAATGTGCGATGCCTAACACCATAATGGAGCATGCCCTAAGCACGTATCACCTCATACAGTCCATGGTGCTTATCACACTAGGACAAAGATCATGAGAAAAAAAAAACACACACACAAAAAAAATCAATGACATTTAACTTCACATCCTGGAGTTCATGAAAGTTGATTTTTAACAAGATGGCATTGCAGTACAAAGGAAGGGAGGTGGGACGTAGGCTGGTAAGGTGGCCCTGGATCACCATGGTGGTGAGAGGCAGTGTCAGGAACACTGGTGGGCAAGCCCACAGTGATATCTAGTGGACACTGACCCCTGCCAGCGACACTGACCGACGCTTGCCAGTGACAAGGCAGATTCACTAAACCCAGAGCTTCTCCTAGTGATTTTCAACCACTATTCTACACTGTAGCACAGCTCTAATGCTCACAAAGTTTGAAAAAAGTTATTTCCATGCTCACCTGATTCTGCAGAAGCAAGTGTCCATAATAAAAGAAGCAGAGCAAAAAAATGCTCAAAAATTCACAAGGGTTTTTGTTAGGTCTTTTTTTGTTCTCCACTAGAGAGATGCTGGGTAATCTTCCAGGAAGGTTATAGCCACGTGTACTACCCTGCCTGCAAAGTTCTCTGACACACTACACCTTTTGTGCTTCCTCTACTAATAATGAACAGATACTGGTACATTCAGTAAAATCAAGCATTTCTTTCCTGTTGCAGCACATAAGAGAAGGTGTCAGCCTGCTACAATGTGCCAGACTGCGCAAAGCAAACAGGGAAATGGCAGGCATGGGCTTCATCTTGCTGTGACAGGGCTAGACCTCCTCGCTCTTTTCTATCGCTGTTCCAGGCTTGTTTTCCCATTTCCCAAGCATCCCCCAAGTGCACCAATTTCCCCACAAGTTTCACACTGCTCCTTATTTCCATTTCTCAGCTGTACAACACTGTTTCTTAAAAGCAGGCTATGTAGTACGTGCTGCTTTCCAGCACACTCAGCCCCAAAGAGAACAACCAGGAGACAGACAGACTCCATTTCCCAATCCAACTTGTTTTTAAATCAATTTAAGTAGACAGAAGATGAGATTTTCAACAAGGTCTCCTTAAAAACCATGGAAGTTCTTTGTAGCAGTACCAAAAGCAAAATTTTGAGTTCTGGTATGATCCTCTACTGCCACCAGCAGTAAGCTGAGGAAGGAGCAAAATACCCCTTAGCAGCTCCTTCAATGGTTGCAACAAGGCCAACACTGAACAAGTGGGGCACTCACCCTAATTTGGTGGAGAAGACACCTCCTAGGACAGAGCCAATGATGATGCCTATTCCAAAGCAAAGACCCAGCTTCCCCAAAGCATCAGCACGTTGGGAAGGAGTAGTCATGTCTGTAATAACCTTCTGAGCACCTGCGGAGAAAAACAAATCCCTAGAAGAAGCTTGCCACAGGGTCTGAGCAGCAAACACACAAATTTTTAGGACACAAAAACAGCACCTGCCACAGAACTGTCCTTGCACACTGTTGGTGTGGAATTGGTTCAGCTTGTCAGTCATAGGAAACAAAATCACCCAAGCCACTTCACAAAAGGCAAGAAGAGTCTTAACATGCTATCAACCTGTCCTCTTGTGTGAGTTCAGAGACTTCTAGTAGCTAAAGGTTTATGGTTTTTACTAGAAACATCTAGGAAAGATCAACAAAATCAGAACAGCTTAGTGGGTAACTGAAGGTATTTTTGGCAATCATGTTTCATTTTGAACAATACACTCACTTTACCATGAGAAAAGGAAAAGCTTTCCTATAAAATACCATGGTTGCAAGAAGGCAGCTGAGAAGTCTGGGACAGCACTGCTGCCAACAAGTGATTGTCACCTGTGTCTGAATGGTGAAGTCCAAGCAATTTGCACAAGATCATACAGGAGGATGGACCTGGGACTAAAGGCTAATAGCCCTGCTTTCCATAAACTAATAAACCTGTTCCTTCATGTTCTTACCGTTTCACCCCGATAACCATCAAATGCTCCTCCTGCCTTCCTTCATGCTGTTGAGCCTGTTGACTTGAGCAATGTGAGCAAGGAGCGAGGACTCTGGCAATAAAAGCAATTTGGAAAGCCCCTCAGCCCTGACCTACATTACCTGGTAGCCCATGCATGAACACTGCTGGCAGCCTGGAGAGGAAGAGGAGGGGGACGCTCGTGGAGATGGACATAAGCAGGAAGAAGGCACTTCCAGATGCACAGGAAAGAATTAAGGCTGCTCGGGCACCAAATTTATCTGCAAACCTAGTACAGAAATGATACAAGGCTGTCACAAGTGGGACTATGCAGGTCATTGCAAGAGTGATGCACCCAGATGGATGGAGTTGCATGGCCACCTCACTCTCATTCCCCATGGGAAGCACTGGTCAGATTCTCAGAAGTGCGCAGATCCCAAGAGGACAAGATATTCAGAGACGATAATACAAAACAAAACAAGCAAAAAAACCCAACAAATGAAAAACCAAAACAAGCCCCCCACCCTACCCAGTGTAAGTCTTGCCTGGAGGAGGACTGCAAGGACCACTGCTGAAGCACCAGCTGCCCACCCGGGAATTCAGGGACATACACTTTGAAATAATGCGGGAATACACCAGCAACTGCCATCTCTTAGCCTATTTCCAGACCCTTCATAAGCGCAAGATAATGTGCTTGCTTAAGCCTCCTGCTCTGGCATTCCAGTGAATAAATGTGGCTGCTAAACACCAGCCACAGGCAGAGGCAATTATAACAGCTCAGCAACTCATTCAATATTATCTTTTCAGAGCATACGGTGCCCTCAAATTTTACTTTGTGAATCTCAGAGTTGGTTCAGACCAGGGAATCAGGCTAGCTAATTTTTTTTTGTTCAGGTTCAGTGGTAATTGAAGTTATTTCAATTTCTTTCCAGATGATGGTCAGAGCAACATTTCTCTTTCAGCATAACTTAAAAAAAAATAAAACAAAGGGGAAGTTTTCTATTTAGGTTCAATAAAGACTTAATAGTGACTCCATTTTTTTCTGTTTGAGAAAAAAAAACAAAACAACAAAACAGCTGAATCAGGTTTTGGCTCAGGTTTTATTCAACTCCAAGTTATTTTGAAAAGCTAAGTCAGACAAAGTCTGAGAGTACCACAGAAAGGGTTCTGAGCAACTGGGGCTAAAACAGGCTCTAGACAGCTTTTTTCCACTACAATTCCTCCTTTCTTCATTTTGTTGAAGTTGTATAGTACAGTTTGCTATGCAAGGTAATGTTCATCTGCTATTAGTTGTGATTACGCCAAAAGAAACAACCCCCCCAGAATGCCAAGCCTGGTCTACAAAGTTAAGCATAAGTAATTAAAGGGCTTCACACTGAGAAAGAAGTACAGGTCAAAACTTCACTGTTTACATGAATGCCAGGGAAGTTTATATTAGCTGTTTGTAACTTAAAGACCTTGGCTTACTACATAGTCCAGGGTTGTTTTTTTTTGTTTTGTTACTGAAGAGTAAATTCAGTGCTTCATCTTCTCCTGGCTGTTTAGGAGCATCAAGCAAGAAGAACAAGAAAAACAGACCTAAGCTACACATTTTTATGTCTCTTATCCCCCTCCTTCCCATTTTCTCTTTATCTACCTTCATACTGAGGTCAAAGCAGCCTCACATCTAGGAAAATCCTTTTTATCTCAAACCTACATTGCAAATTTTGGCTTCAATCTGGCAGTATACACCTTCAGTCCCACCTACACCAGCGGGAACCTAGACCTGGACGGATTCAGGTTTACCTTTTTCTTCCCTTCAGCATCCCCTCCAGACATTACTGAATGACATGTGCAGAGGAAAATCAGATTTCAGATGGCACCAGATCCAGACCAGAAATATTACTCTAGATTTGTATATTAATAGAAAAAGCATTCAAATTGGCCCCTTGCACCATACCATCTTCATTCTTAGGAATGCATTTTCTTCCAAACTGCACTGGAGAATTTGATGCTATTAACTTTAAAATGTGTATTATGTTAGCATTGAAGGGCTTTTAGAGATCAGATCCTTGAAGTGCTACACACCATCTACTAGAGGATCTTGTAGAGCACTGAGGCACACAACAGCTCCATATCCATTTATTACTTTGTTGACCAGTAGCAAGACTGAGAAGAAAAGGTAGATTTTCTCATCCTCACTTTAGTTTTCTGAATCTGGATTACACTGCTCTTTCAAATTTTTTCTGCTTTTTGGGAATGTATTCCCCCATCTCACAATTTTTTGGGGGCTGCTTACGTTTTATTAGGAACAGAAGCATGTGTCCCATGGGGTAGAGAGGCAGAAACCCTGAGTCCCTTCCACTCTTCTTATTTTTATAGACGAACTTATAGATAGATCCATTCTTAAAAATTGATGCAAGTCTAGCTTGCAGTGAGATTCAGCTGTAGAAACAACATGACCCTCAATTATTTTCACTGATGGCTCTACTTAACATCAATAAATACCCTCCTTTTTTTTTTAGGTTTCCCAGTCACAAGACATTTCTTAGATTATACATAGCTATAAAACATTCGCAGGATTAAGCTGTTAAGAGCTGGGCTCTGAAGACTGATAGTTTAAGCCTGCTCCCAGTGTATTGCTACACTTATATGTGTGTCATTAAAACACAGCTAAGTTAATAAAAAGGCTGCTTCTATGTTGCAGTATTTCTAACTATAGTATTTATTCTCCCCTCACCCATTTATAAAATCTTCAAACATTTCAACAGGACCAAGAACCAGAACAATATGACTTTTTACTATAGTAAAAAATGTCTGGCCTTTTTCAGCTAGGTAAAAGGCCATGAGAATTGTTCTCTCTTACCTCCCAAAAATGGAACCTCCCACAAGCTGGAGGACACCAAAGGTTGTCTGGAGGTAGCCAAAACCCACTGAATCCAAACCTACGCTCTTGGCCAAGTACTAAAAAAGAAAAAACAAACAACAAAATCAATAGGTCAGAGGAAACGAGGTATGCTATATTTCTGAATAAAGACCTTACTGTTTTGGTTGAGAGAACTACAGCTCCAAACAAGCACTTCCTGCAGTTCCCCATACCTAGAGATGAAATCTTCACTGGGTCAGACACCGGCTGCACATCCAACGAAGAGCAACAAAGTTAGTGAAGTGTGTAGAGCATAAGTTGCATGAGAAGCAGCTGAGGGAACTGGGGTTGCTCAGCCTGGAGGATAAGAGGCTGAGCAGAGATCCTATTTCTCTCTACAACTACCAGAAAGGAAGATGAAGCAAGGTGCGTGTCAATCTCTTCTGCCAAGTAAGAAGCAATAGGACAAGAGGTGACAGCCTCAAGTTGTGCCAGGGGAGGTTCAGATTGGGTATTAGGAACAATTTCTTCACCAAAAGGTTGTCAAGCACTGGAACAGGCTGCACAAGGAAGTGTTGAGTCACCATCCCTGGAAGTATTTAGAAGATGTATAAATGTGGCACTTAGGAACATGGTTTGGTGGTAGACTTGGCAGTGTGTGGTTTATGGTTGAACTCAGTGATCTTAAGGGTCTTTTCAATCTAAATGATTCTATGATTCTACAAAACCAGGCTGCCCTGGGTTCAGCAGTAGCAGTCATTTTTTCTCCTTCTTGGTAGCTGGTGCAGTGCTGTGTTTTTGACTTTTGGCCTGGGAACGGTGCTGATAGCACCAATGTTTTTAGTTACTGCTCAAACGTTTGGTCTGGCCAAGGACTTTCTGAGTCTCATGCTCTGCCAGGGAGGAGGGGAAGCCAGGAGGAAGCAGAGACAGGACACCTGACCTAAACTGACCAAAGAGGTATTCCATACCACAGCACGTCATGCCCAGGATGTAACTGAGAGTTACCCAGAAGAGCTAGGACTGTGTGGTTGGACGAGGTATCGGTCGGTGCTCGGTCGGGTGGGGTGGGGCAAGTTATTGGTTGGCGAGTGCTGAGGTGTTGTAATTCTCTTCCCTTGTTATTTCCTTTATCATTATTATTATTGGTGGTAGCAGTAGTGATTTGTGTTATACTTTAGTTACTAAACTGTTCTTATCTCAACCTGTGGGAGTTGCATTCTTTTGATTCTCCTTCCCATCCTTCTGGGAGCAAGGGGAGGGCAAAAAGGGGGGGGGGGGGGGAGTGAGAGAGAACTGTGTAATTCATGGCTGACTTTGTTTAAACCATGACACAGGCAGAAAAGTCCAGCGAAAAGAAATGAATCCTACTCATGGCTGGTTTATTACACTCTCAAAAAAACCCACCTCTGCTCTCAAACCAATGATTTCTGCTGCCTGCTCATTGGGTCACCCTCCCACTACAAGCAAGAAGATACAAAGCACATTAGTTCCACCCAGAGCCATCAGGCCAGGAAAGGTCTCTAGGTGTTACTACAGTACAAATAATAAACTCGCTTTTACTGCCTGGGCATATACTGAACACAGTCACAGCTAGGTAGGAAAACACTTTCCTCTCTCTTGCTAGAAAATCTCTAGATAGCTTTCCTGGAAAATTACATAGCCTAGCACTTGAAGGCAAGGCGTGCTGTGAAACAAAATAACCCATACTCACAGGCATGACTCCCATCTGCATGAAGATGAAGGACAGCTCTATGGTTACAATCACATAGGCAGCAAGGATCACTTGTCCCTTTTTGATGTCTCCTGAGCGGCTGCTCTCCCCCAGGGTCTTACTCCTCATTCCCGAGGCTTCTTCCTCACCTCCAGAGCTGACTTTTACATTTATAGTGCTCATGGAACAATTTACTGCAGGCTGATGGGCTGAGAAATGACACAAAGGTGATTTCTAGCTGGGAACATGAAGCATCAGTAAGGCACAGAAACTGTTGCATGCAGTTCAAAGCTTACAGTTCAAAAGGTAGTGAGTCAGCATGACAGGGATTTATTCATTCTTTCTTTGTTTCTTCCCTCCCCTTGCTTTCTTGCCAGGCAGGATTAAAGGTAGCCATGCATCAAATCACAGATCTCGTTCTTCAGCTTTGTCCCAGGTGGGCTCATTGCTTCAAGTACCATCTAAACTAAGACCAGCTTGAGAGTCCCAGCAGAATGAAAGCGGACATTGACCCAGACAAGAACACGTGACAAAATCTTCAACTCTTTAACTGTTTAACTTCTTTCACTTTTATTTCCTCTGGTGGCTCAGAAGAGATGACTGTTGCAGTTCTTCACAAAAGGCACTTTGGTTTTATTTTTGGAGATGCAAGTGAAGCTTACAATAGAATAGCTATTTCTAAGTCCTCTTGCTTCTTGCAGTAGATTTACACAGATCCTAGAACAAACACAGATCTTACATGCAGTTAGAGGTGCTCTCATCAACATCTCTACTTGAGCCGTTTTCCCTCTTTCACCAGGTGCTGCAAATTTATTAGAGACTGAGCTAGCAAATGTTCACATGTGATTTCACTCAGAATACAAATTAGCAGCCAATGCCAGAAAAAAATAAAAAAAAAAATAAAGCATTAAATCCACAGAAATCATGAGGCTGACTGCAAAGTGGGGAATTAAATAAACACAACTCATTTGTCATTTGGGGGTTTTATTTGTTTGCTTGCTTGTTTACTTAGGGTTTTGTTTGTCTGCTTGCTTGTTTACTTGCTTAGGGGTTTCTTTGTTTTCTTACTTGTTGAATCCTGGTTTCTTACTTATTGAATTCTGGCTGAGCATTGTCTTTATTTTAAAGAGAAGAAGAAAGCAGAGGTCTCAGTGCTCTGATTTGGTAGAATTACAGGACTTTTGGTAGTAAGGGATCTCAGGAGATCTCATCTGCTCTCCTGCTTGAACATATCAGCTGAGCTGTGGCTTTTTCTAGATAAGCTTTGCAAATCTCCAAGAAAAGAGATCTGCCCCTCACCGAGTGTGTGGGAAGAAGGTTTTCCTAATGTGCAATCTGAATTTTTCAAGCTGTGGTTTGTGGCCATTGTCTCTCATTGTATCAACTGTCACTACCAAGAGGAGTCTGTCTGCATCATCTCTGGAGCCGTCCTTCAAGCAGTTGCAGGTGGCTGTTAGGTCACCCCAATCTCCTTTGCCAGACTGAACAAGCCAAATTCCCTCCACCTGTTTCAAAGACTACATACTCTAGATCCCTGATCTTCCTAGTAGCCCTTCAATGGGTCCAACCCAGTTTGTCCACAACTCTCTTGAACTGGGAGGCCCAACACTGGGTCAGCCTCAACAGCACCAAGCAAAGGAAGACTAACAACTTCCCTGGATGTTCTGACCATGCTCTTCCTCAGATGGCCCATTACATACTTTGCCGTATTCCTGATGAGCATGCACTATTGATTCACACAGCATCACCGCCACCCATGGTCTTCATGCTGGGATTGCTACACGTCCAGTTGGTCTCCAGCTGTCATTGATGCAGGTGGATATTCTGCCCCAGCCTTAGGGCAAATTGTCCCCGATTTCAACTTGATGAAAACCCTGAGGTTTTGGTTGATTCAGCTGTGACACTTCAAGCGGACTGTCCAGTATTGACCATATCAGCCAGTCCCTCTGATTTAGTAACACCTCTGCTCAGAAATGGAGGGCCAACTCACTGTGAAGGCTGACACAGGCACATCAACACAGGGACACAACACAGACATTTGTTGGCTTGGATCCAGTGCGGTTGTCAGGGCCCTCACGCTTCTGATGAAGCCCTGGGAGAGGGAACTATAAGATCTCTGGGCACACCTTGTTATTCAACACATGTCTCCACAGAGATCCAGGATTTGGTGAGGGCTGCCAGGCCCTCCTGGCGAAGGAGGAAGATGACCAAAGGTTTAATGTTTCACCAGGGGTGGGTACCATACCTCTGGAGGCTGAACAGAAAAAAACTTTTGCAATCTCAGCCAGTGCATTAATAAAAAAGCACCTTTAAAGAATGACTTTCCTACAGGGATACCAGCACTCAAACAGACCCAACAAATAATGCCCTAGAAATCGTACCTGCTGCTGAAGAAGGAAGATTACCCAGTGTGTATCCCAACTTAGCAAAGGATCAGTGCTCAACATTTGGTTCATCTCAGTGTGCCTGAGATGGATTTGCCTGCACTTGAACACCCTGCAGCACAGCATCAACATCATCACTCTCTGGTTTGTGCTGGACAGGCATGATTTACAAATTACCAACATTGAATAGAAGAGTCAAATTAATGACAGAACTCTGTTTATGAGGGTTTTGAGACAACCAAAAAAGCAACTCATGCAAATGCAATGTAAAACACTGCTTACAGGAAACATTGCTGACTTGGACTTGAAAAGCATCAATGTTTTGACTGGTGAGTTTGTCTCAGCAGCAACTGGAAACAGATCCCAGCAAGGCTACAGAGGGAAACAATGACTTGCAGATGCAGCCACTCGCCACCAGATCGAGCCTCATCCTGCCCAGGGCATGCAGTGCAGACAGCTAACCACTCAGATTTAGCTGTTTTTTACTGGCATTGACAAGGGAAATAGAATTAAAAAAAAAAATGGAGTTCAATTTTCAGCCTCAGGGGTAAAAGCCACAGTTCTGAAAGACAGGGACCTAAGCTCAATGCCTGCTGTGGAGGTGACCATGGAGAACGAGCTATGATCACCAGATTTAGGGTATGCACCCATACCTGTGGCAAGTGTGAGAGCTGGCTGGAAATGCCAGAGAAAGAATCACTGCCTCTTGGATACAGCAGAGCCCTCATTTCCCTTTGCAAAGAGAAACTGTATTTCTATGGGCTGTGTTCTGGGAGTGTGCCAGGAGGGACACAAGGTGCAAGAGGAGTAGTTACAAGTATACCTCATCTTCCTGCCCAAGAAGAAGCAATGATAACCCTTCCCTTCCTTGCAAGAGGACCCCACCATAACCGGTAAGGTGTGCAGATACTCAACGAGAGACACGTAAAGCCTTTATGGATACACAGCCCTTAGGGAGCTATCATTCTGGTGATGTTACTTAAGATTTACAATACAAGAGAGGAAATGGAAGAACTATCTCAAAACAATTCCCCAACAGTGGGAATGCTGAATTGCCACAATGAGGGAAACTGCTTAACACCAGCCGTGGTTGGTGGGAGCCATCAAATCCACAGGATCCAGCCCTAATGCTTCTCTTCCCTTGACCCTGACACTGAGGGAACCAGCCTCATTTGTAGTCTGGTGAAAGATTTATACAGTTAAGCAAATAAGAGCATAGAAGGCCTGGTAATACCAAAATTATTTCCCATATTTGTTGACTGATTTATTCCTTTGTCTAATTGTGAAAGCAGCTCACTAATGAATGGAAAAAGACTCCATATGGCCAGCAAGAAAGAGCCACGTTTAGTTTACAAAATAGCAGAGTCTTTGGGGGATTTTCATAAAAAATAACAGAGACAGTCCAAATCGGCAATGAAATCAGATTCCCAGTGGCTGCTGAACTTTTGGCTTTTTCTATGTGTGTATTAAATTACAAAAAGCAATTATTTATAATTTGTTTTTCTAAAAATGCTGGTGCGCTTATTCTGTCTGGCGAATTATTTTGTGAAATGGAAAAGGCTATTGTTCATTCTTTTGGTAAAGTCTTTGTTACTTAGCATATTAAACTGAAAATGACATTTTATCTGAAATATGGCTGGTTGTTATTAACTTTTTAAATGGTAAAGTCCCAAAGCTCCAGCTAATATCAAGGCCCCTTTTCATGCTCTGCAAACAAAAAAGAGGTTGAGACTCAGATGGGGGAAAAGAATTAGATCCTCTTTGTCTTGCAGATGGGATCCTAACAGAGGGGTTTAATGACCTCCCTGAAATCACAGAGGAAGTCTGTGGAGGAGGCTGGAGTCAGACTATATCATCCCTTGGATGCCAGTCCCAGTGTTTAACCATAGGGCAGTTTCTCCTCTCTAATATTCTGGAAAAATTAAACCAAAAGAGAACATTTCTGGATGCTGGAATTTGACAATAAAATATGCAGATGGGGCACAGACTGTGTCAATTGTGTAAGAGTTTTGGAAAAAAACCTGTGGCCCAAATTCAGGAGAGTTACACCAAGAATAACATGCCCAAATAGGAATAGAAAACTTAGTTCTTTGTGCCCATCCAGTCTCATTGGCTCCAGCAGGATCTTGTCAGGGAAGGAGCCTCTCATACCTGCTCACACTGAGTGGCACCTAGCTTAGGCTGACCTCAGCTCAGCCAGAGGACACACCTTTGGAGTCATAGCCCAGGTGCTGCTACGGCTGTGGCCTACCTCTACCCCAAAATCTCTCCTGAGCAAACAGAAGCTCCTCAAGGTTCGATGAACAGCTGCCATGCAGTGGAGAAGGGCTGCTGGGCTGGCCCCGACCTTCTCCTTCAAGCCAAGACATCAAATGACATCAGCCTCTACTGGCCCACTATGCTAGGACATTAAAGAATCGGCAAGAAAAAAATTAGTGAAAGCCCAGGTCTGCTGTGTAAACTCTCCTGGGCAACGGACGATCTCCCCCAGACTCGCCATTCTTCCTAATGCTCAAGCCACACTTGTAAGCAAACATGATACAGCCATATATGTAGAAAACTGATTAAAGGAGTGGTTATATCATTGGCTTCTGGGCAGGGTCCATGCAAAACTGCACAGGCTAATAAGCAATTAAGCCCAAAAGCAGTGGATACTTCTGCCGCCTCTGTGGTTGTGTCTTCAGCTTACTGGCATGTTGACGTGATTGAACTCCAGGCGACTCACTGTTGGATAATGGATGAAGCCCTTGTCTCCAAGATACACACAGTGCACTTGAAGTCCAAGGTTTATAGCCAAAGAATATGCTAGATGTGACAAAACCGGATACACACACACACACAAATAAAGCCTCATACTTAGCCTGCAAAATGCAGTATTTCATTCAGCTGGTATTATACAGCCACCTTCTGGAATCACAGCTATGTCTGGAATGTAAAAGCTGTTTATCATTTAAATAACATTTAAGCCATTATAATTTATATGAGAATTGTAACTGCTAGGGCTGTATGGAGCTTCTTGTTGTGGTCTGCCATAGGAATGCTGCAGATTTCCTCTGCACACATTACATTCTGCACACAATGAGAGCCCCAGACATTTTCAGCCAGTCTTGAGCCTCCTGCATTTACCAAAACATTTTCCTGTGTCACAATCAAACAACTGCCTAATTTGTAACTCTCAAGCATTCAAGAGACCACAACAAGTGTTACAAGAATCTCTGTTTTTCAGCCTTCCAGCAAAGCTATACACAGCACAAGCAAAATGTGGGTGTTAATTCAGTGTTTCTGCTAATGTATGTTTCTGCATAAAGCAATTAGAGAAGGGCAAAGCATGTATCTGTAAATCCCTGCACATTCCAGATACAGCCTCCCCACACAGAGGAGGGTCTGTGTTACATCCTCAGACAAAATCTTACCTGCTCAGGGCCAGGGGGCACATGCCCCCTCCCAGCCTTGCTCCATTTGGCTGGCCAGTTTCTCCACATGGACTTGGGACCTGCATGGCGCCCAAAAGGGATGTGGAGAAAAAGAGACAGCTGCCGCTGTGCCCAGCTGGCTCCATCCACTACTTGGTTAAGGGACAACCCTATATTGCAGATAATCGTTTCCTGTGGATGGCAGAGGTGGGATGAAGGCATCTATAGTCACACAGGGCTGCGTTTATCAGCAGCTCAGAAGTGGCGAAATGCACAGATATGGCTAGACACCTCTTCATGTATCTGGAACTCTAAACGCCTTCCAAAGCCTCACACCAGGTCTTTACTTTTCTGCCTCTAAGCAAACACCTAATTTCAGCTGAAGGCTTGACTGGGACATGTAAAGCCAGAGCGAACCCCCAAAATTTGCGCTGTTAAAAGTTGGAGCAGAGCACACACTGCTGCCTGTCATCCCACTCACCCAGGAAAAGCAAACTTTTTAAAGCTCAAGAAGACACCAGCCTGTAAAAGTATCCACTCTGCCAGCCAGGTCTGCATCCCCTGCATCAGCAATAAAAGCTGTAGCCAGGTCTACCTGGGGAGAACAATTAGAGTCTTGATTTTAGTTAGGAATACAAGAGGGAACAAAGAAAAATCCAAGACTGATGGTTTTTTGTTCAAACCACCAGAAGGCTTTGGAGACCTTTCAATGCTTTATCCTAACCTTCGCATTTGCCCTCCACTTGAATTCACCTGAGACAGAAAGAAATCAAATCTCCTTTGCTGGAGGTGGAATTTCCTTAGGGGATCCTTAGCACTGAGGTTGCAGGGGGAGCCCACTAATGGCTCTCAAGCAGGATATCATGAATCTTCACAGCAGTTCAGGGAAAATTTTCAAGGTAATTAAGCTGAATACAGCTCTAGCATAGATAGGTAGCCAAGAGATGGACAAACAGAAATTTTCCTAAGAGCAAACTACTAAGAGCTACTTTTTTTTTTAATTTTAAAATCATTTATAAAGCTTGTTTCCACAATGATCACAGAATTGCAACCCCATTACTCTTTGTCACTGAGCAAAGATATTAGCACTTGCCATGGACTTGCCACCAGAAAAGGAGAGAGATCCCCTTCTGAAAGGAGTACCAAAACCATTTATGCCATGAAAAGAGCACAGAAAGGGATTTAGTGCTTCCAAACATGCCAAAGAGTAAGTATTTGTCAGCCCCAGCCAGAGGTAGCTGCTGCTCATGGGAGAGCTGGATGATGAATAAAAATTTTCTGTTGCAATATTTATTTTCGAGGCTTTTTTCTTTGATATTCCTGTCTAATTCTAACCCATTCCTAAGGCCAAATGCAAGGCTGGCATAAACCAGCAATGCCTGCATAGTTTTGGGCTGGACTTGTCACTGTCAGTCTTTGGCACTTAATCTTTTCGCACTCTAGAGAGGGTAGAAATAAACAAAGAAAAGCTCATTTTGAGCACTACTACCCAGTTCACGTGTTCCATTTCTGGAACACACAACTCTATACATCAAAGTCTTCATGCACTAAAGCCAGGATCCATCACCTGGCTTTTCAAGAAATCCTGCAAATTTTCAGCCCAAACAGTAGAGAACCAGCCCTGCCAAGGCAACAATGGGACTTGAGCACTTTGCAAATACTTAGGATATTTGAAACAAGGAAAAAATGCTGCTAGAAAAAGGGGGTCTATCCCAGCTAATTTTCCTAATGCCCTACCAGAGAGCAATATGATTAGCTGCCCTAAGGAAGGCACTGGCTTCCTACAGTAGGTGGATCCTCGAGATTCCTATTAAAACTGACACCAATCTACTCAGCAGCTCTGTCCAGACCCCCTCCTTGCTACCTTCAAGTTGAAGCCCAGTACAGCCTGTGTCGTGGTGGGTTATATTTGTCCTGAGCCTCAGCAATTAAATAATTTGCCAAATTCAGCTGGGTCTGCACAGGTGACATGACAACCACCTTCAATTCCACTGGAGGCACCCTTGGAAACTGTGGGACTGCAGACGGATTGAGGACCTTGTTGGTCAATGGAAAAATGTTTGTGGTGCATGAAAAGGAAAGGTTCTAGATTAAATTTGTAGGCTGTCACTTAAGAAAAAAAAGCCATTCTCCCATATACAAAGCAAGTGCATTTGATCTAGAGAACAATGAGACTGCATACACACAGCATCTCCAGATACACTTTTTTCCTTCCAGAGCAAACTCACTACTACTTGGCCACTGTCAGCTTAAATGATTTCACCTGGTTTATATTTTTCCTTTGAATATTAATGATGACCAGCTGACTCATTTTTACTTTGAGAAGAGCTGCAAGATTTGGATTAGTTGGCTTGAGGCTGAAACCCTGACCCCAATTCACTGGGAATTTTGCCTCTGATTTCCATGCTGCCAGGATTTAATCTCCAGGTCTTTCATCCAGCTCCTCTTATGCTTTTACTGTTAAGAAAACATTTGTTTCAGACTCCTTTGGTCACAACTATGTTTGAGAATGTGGCTCATGATTCACACTAGAAGACTTTGTACCGTGTCATTTTGAAATGCCTTTGTGTGTGACTACATGCTTGCCAGGGGACAGCGAGATACCTGCTATCCTGCACAACATCAGGGTTTGGCTTTAACTGCACTTTTATAAAGTTAGAGGTTAATCAAGAGTCAGGTACAAGTGCCTCAATTTGTACCCAATCCTCTTCTCACTCAGTCCAAAACTCAACCTACTTGAAACTGAAGCTTGCTGCCATACAAACTTATTTTAGCAATAGCACCTACAAGAAGTGGCAGAGCAGTGGCTAAGGGTAATTTCTAAGGCTACAGAATGACCTGATTGTTTTTCAACCTGGGCACAGCACAGGAAAAAATACAGCTTTCACCTGGCCTCCACCATCTACCAAAGGACATTACAACCACATGAAATATTTAGCAATATTCCTGACCATGGCCCAAAGTAGCAGGTTCAGCTTCAATCCAAAACCTGAGAACTGGCTCATTAAGAAATAGCTATGTCAGTGGATATAATGCAAACCATTAAAAAACCCTTTAAGCCAGTGTTATCTATGGTCTTCCACCTCATTTGCTCAGTTAGGGGATATGGCATTTGCTTTCTCTTTGGATCTGAGGGATGCTGAACACTAGTGGGATTTGTGCCAACTGCTGTTGCAGAAAACACATACAAATGCTTGAATGCTACTCCACACAAAAACATAGGCTGAGCTCCCAGCAATGAGTCACAGCACTAATTGTTCTACATGACATAAATGTGTTTATAGCATGCTGCTGGATCCAGGTACAATTAACTTCCCACTCTGTAGGAATACATACCGCACTGCAGGCAGGGCAGCCTTACCATAGTTAAACTACTGTAAAATGAATGTGATGGACACACAAGGAGCTCATTTAACCTCTCCCTTTGTATGTTCACCACTGGCTGCGTTATGTTTGGTCCACAGCAAAATTAATGCTATGAATTTAGCATTAGGGAGATTATAAAATTATTGCATTTCAAGATAGAGAGCAAATAAAATTTTAGTGCTGTGTCTTCAGAAAGTTACTATGCTAAAAGCAAATTTAAAGCTGTAGGCAAGAAGATAAATTAATTAAAGAATACAAACAAGAAGCCAGGGGGTGATGAGAGGGGAGAAATTATCTCATCATGCTGCATCATCGTGTGATATCTAAACACCCCATCACAGGGAAAGGAGGGAGCAAGCCCTGCGGGAGGCAAATAAGACAAGACAATCCAGGGAACCAGCCACAGAAAGATGTAGAGGAGACAGAGCTCCTGGGGCTCCCCAGGGCATGCCAGTCCTGCATGAAAACAAGCATGTATCTTGAGGTCTGAATCCCCTACAACTGCATCTCCTTCTCTTGGATTTCCAGAGTTTGAGCTACCATTGAGCTAAGCCACTATCCATCATATCTGAGAAGCTGAGGCAGACAGGTGAAGGTCCCCATGACTGGAAAAGGGGAAACAAAATGCCCATTTTTTAAAAGCACAAAAAAGAAGATACAGGCCAGCGAGTCTCACCTCTGTGCCTGGCAAGATCATGGAGCAGTTCATCCTGGAAACTATGCTAAGGCATATGGAAAACAGAGAGGTGATTGGTGGCAGCCAACATAGCTTCACTGAGGGCAAATTGTGCCAGACAAATCTGATGGTCTTCTACAAAGAGGTTACAACATTGATGGATAAGGGAAGAGTGACTGACATCATCTACTTGGACTTGTGCAAAAGATTTGATACTATCCTGAACAACATCTGTCTCTAAAAGGGGGAGACATGGATTTGATGGATGGACCACTTGATAAGAAACTGGCAGGGTAGTCAAACTCAGGGTTGCAGTCAACATCTCTATGTCCAGGTGGAGACCAATAATGAGTGTTGTCCCTCTGGGGACCAGTACGATTTAACATCTTTGTCAGGGATCTGGACAGCGGGACTGAGTACAGCCTCGCAGGTTTACAGATGATACCAAGCTGAGCAGTGTGGTTGACATGCTGGAAAGAAGGGATGCCATCAAGAGGGACAGGCTTAAGAGGTGGGCCTGTGTGAACCTCATGAAGCTCAACAAGGTCAAGTGCAAATTCCCACACTTGGGTTGGGGCAATCCCAAATGTGAACACAGGCTCGGTGGTGAGTGGATTTGGGGGTACTGGTGGATGAAAAACTGAATATGACCTGGCAATGTACACTTGCAGCCCAGAAAATCAACCGTATCCTGGGCTACCTCAAAAAGAGCATGGCCAGCAGGTCGAGTGAGGTGATTCTCGCCCTCTACTTTGCTCTTTTGAGACCTTACCTGGAGTTCGGGCTCAGTTGAGACCCCACTGTGTTCAGCTCTAGGGCCCCCAACAAAAGAAAGACATGGACCTGTTAAGAGTCCAGAGGAGAGCCATGATGATGATCATAAGGCTGGATCACCTCTTCTATAAAGACAGGCTGAGAGAGTTGGGGTTGTTGAGCCTGAAGAAGAAAAGTCTCCAGGGAGACCTTAGAACAGCCTTTCAGTACCTAAAGGTACTGGATAGAAAGATGGGGAAGGACTGTTTATCAGGGAGTGTAGTGATAGGAAGAGTGGTAAGTTTTAAACGGAAAGATTTACATTAGATATTAGGACAAAATTCTTTGGTGTGAGGGTGGTGAGGTACTGGGACAGGTTGCCCAGAGAAGATG